AAAAAAAATCTACCCATGATACCTATGATCCAAGTTCCTCCTAACCACTAAAACTTGTTGCATTCCTCGGCCCACCTATAGGCCATTCTAAGTCTGTCCTATCACGGTGCAGCATGCTCACATACAAACTTATCTGCATCCTTCAGCCACTATGTCTTCTTTTACAGAATGAACCACATGTACCTCCAAGTAACATGTCATATTGCTCAACGATATGGCGGCAAATGGCATCTATCCGGGAACTTGTAAGGCGGCGTAAACCAACACTCGAGGCGACGACAGTGCCGCCAATCTGCCGATCGATGTGACACTTACGTCCTCAAGTTGCAAACTACAACTCAAACTCCGATGGAGGCTCCATCATGGAGCAGCCGAGCATGTTCAAGCATTGCATCCATGACTTCCCTGTCCCCCATTGACAACCCGCCGCCAGTTGAAGCGGATACCTTTGCACCCATATTACACACCCCGCTCGAATATTTCCGAACACGAATACGCCAATCTGATTGGTCAGTCTGTTTGTTACACGATGTAGCCATCATCATTACTTCAGTAATCACACCACATTCTTCAATTCTCACTCTAGACCACAGGTTTAGCCTCGCCATGAAGCGCGAGCTGCGTTCTGTGACGCTCAAGGCTTCGCCCTTACCGTCTCAAGCACCCGCACGTCCGTCCACCCGCTCGTGGCGCTTCGGATCGTTGCTGCTACTCTACGCCGCCGGTTTCCTGTTGCTCGAGCTGTTGCTCTTCCGACACGCTCATTTCTCGACCCATCGCCGCCTCGTGGAGGTCCCAGAGGACTCAGAGCGCTTCGCTCTGTCCCCTCCAGACCTCGAGGACGCCGAGTTCGCCAAGATCCAAGTGCCACAGTGGATGACAGACAAACCCAGCGACGTGCCTGTTCAGGAGCGTGAACATCTAAGTTGGCTACATTCAGCGTGTGTAGCCAAGAAGCAGGCTATTATCACATGGCAACATGGCTCACCAGAGTATTCTAACCAAGAGGAGAGAGAAAAGGCCCCAGTACTAGAAAGAGGCGACCCACGAGTTATTGAACAACTAAAGAAATGCCCCGACGTGGATATTTATCTACCCGACGGCATCCGAGGACTTGGATACTGTGAAGATGCAGTGGCGTTTACAAAATGTAAGACTTTTTTGTACTTTTTTAAACAAATTATTCGTGCTGATTATTTTTTTTTTATCCTTTATTGACAGATTTGCACTCGAGATTATTGCCGTTGTGGGCGTTGGAGGACAAATTCTTCGATCCAGAGACGAACAAGAGCGTCATGTACTACGAGCTGTGTCCACTGACGCCGATGATATTCTTTAATCATTATTGGGATGATCGACCAACTCGGTCGGAGTGGCCGAGAGCGAAGCCGATTTATATCATGCCAAATATCGAGATGCGCGAGCTGACGGCGAAAGAATATTGGAGTGTGGATGCTGTGCTGTGCAGAACGTTGGCCTGTGATCAGCGAGTCAAGGCGTGGTATGCACAGGAAGGAAACCCACGTAATGCCAAGGTGTTTTACACTAGATTCACGTCTTCAGACACCGCTGCACACGCCGTCGAGATGCTCGGAGAAGAGAATATCCGACGGAAAAACTTTGCAAAAGTACGATTCACACACACGGCTGGCTCCAGGTACGCAGTATTATTTATTTTTATTTAGTAATTCATCGCAGCTTACATGCTGCTCGTACAGTCCGTATAAAGGCACCGAGCAGGTACTTGACTGCTGGTTGTCGCACCCAAATTTCCCACGTCTGGATCTTTATATCCACGAGGATATCTATGAAGAACGGTACCAATCTACCTACGAAGATGCGATTCTCGAGGCGACCAATGTGAATTTGATTCGTAAACGGATGGACGTGGTGGGTTTTGGAAAAGTGATGGCCGAGTCGTCCTTTTTCCTCTGTCCTAGCACACAAGAAGGTTACGGTCACTACATCGACCAAGCTCGAGCATCAGGAGGCGTTATCATCACAACGGACGCACATCCAATGAACGAACTTATCTCTTCAAAGGATATGGGTGTTCTAGTGGAAACCCAGCGAGAATCCGGTCCAGATATTCTACTTGGTGGTGCATACCATAACACGCATGGACTTAACTCGGCTGATGGACTTGTAGCCAAATTTTCAGCTCAAAACCTCTGCAATTCCGTGGAATATGTGCTTAAACATACCACCTCAACACAACGTGAAGCCATGGCTAAGGCAGCTCAACGGCAGTATTCCGAAGACACCAAGTTCTTTGCGCAGCGGATGATCCAGCTGCGACTATTTGCTCGCCAGCAACGCAATTCCTGGATACCACCCGAGGAAGACATTGCTGTGGGCGACCCGGAACGAATGTTTTTCCGGCGCACATGACCTCCAAACTCGTAGCCCATTTTTAAGTTTTACTTTACAAGCTGATGAAAGCCTTACTGATTATCTGCTTTGTTGTCTTGCTCGTCATAACGTGCGACGGTGGGACAGATTTTATTTTAGTTTTTTTTTAAGTAGAAAGTAGTAAAAAATGAAATTCCAAAGATACTTTTTTTTTATTGTCTTCCAACCATGAGAATGACACATCAGACTTATACGTGAGGTACCCGCTGCGTAAAGCCATCGCCGTAAACCAAGAACGGGTGGACACCACTCAGCAGACTTCAGAAAAGAGGCCACATTAATTTTTTAGGTGCATAAGAAGAGTTTCCGCTGGTGTCGAAAGCGTGCATAATTCCGGTTCTCAGGTTGACCGTCAACGATCTTGAAAGATGTGAACGCGTTGTCTGGACGTGCGCGACACAGCAACCGCGAATACGACCTTAGTCGAGCAATGCACAGCTCAGTTTAACTTTGTGCTTAGAGATGGACACAGGCACGGGATACCGCGGTCGCATCCCATTCCCCCCGCTACAGTTGACCGTTGAGGAGCAGGAGCGATGTCAAGAGCTCACTCTGCAGTTACTGGACCAAACGCTACGTAGCTACGACGAACGCGGTGTCGCCGCGAACGGATCGCCACTCCATCATTCACGCCTGGCCAGTGCTCGCTGGAAAAGTGTCAAGACGCAGCACAACGCCTCTCTCTACTGTGAGCGACATCGTGGAGGACCTCACGATCTCCACATGCCGTTGGGGAACTGGAAAAGCCCACTCGTGCTCCTCGCCGTGGGCACAATTCATAGTTGTCTCGACGACGTTATGCTCGGTCTTACAACGCAATCATTCGGTGACATGCAGTTAAGAGCGGCCTCAGTAGCTTCTCAAGAAATAAGGGGAGCTATGCTTGCCAAGATATCTGGACCGACAGAGGAAAATCCGTTTAACAGCCAGAGTGTCGTGTGGATTGTGGGGGAACAGAAGTGGCCACTAAGTATGGTCGTGAATCCAAGAGACTTCGTCAACTTGTGGGCCTCTGGGGTTATCACTGACGCTAACGGTGACCGTATCGGGTACGAGGTCGTTCAACCTGCACAGTTGCCCCAATGCCCGGAGATTCCTGGTTCGATTAAGCGCGGGAAATTCATGTACGGAGCATTGTTTCGAGAACAGGACGGAGTGGTAGATGTGTACATTCAAGTGCATGTGGAGACGATGGGCGCTGTAGTGAACGCCGTTATGATGAACGCGATCTGGAGCTCCACGCTTGGATTTTGGAAGGCTCCGCGCTTCTCGGAAGAGAAGAAAATCGAATGGTGTGTCATCACCAGCGCTGTGAAAAGAGCTAACAGTAAACGCAAACCACTGGAGACGAAGTCACGAAAGGGTCTTCTCTCTTGCTGTCGCTGTTCAGCTGTATTGGTCCCGCGGAACCAAAGCGAGTACTCCCGAGGGACTCTGGCATGCGCAGCATGCGCGTCGATCTTGTGCTTCAGTTGCAGCGTCAAACGTTCCATTAAGACCACTACGGGGAGAAGCAAGGGCGCCGTGACTCGAAACGTTGCTGTTGTCTTGTGTAGAAACTGTTTGAAGCTCGTGGAGCAGGAAAGAGCTGCCAAGATCGCATGGGAACAGTATCAATACCGTCTCATGTATTCCGCGACGGACGCTTGTAGCAGCAGTCAACCGCTCTGGGGCCTCGCTGATGATTCAGCAATGTTTGTGTGGTCACCGGATCGACACTTCTCGGTTTCAGACGTGTTACACACATATTCAGACGGAGAAGAAGAGTGGACGCCGTAGCCGATGGGAAGCTTTAACGCGCTTGTATTAATACAGTTTAAAGTAGTGAATGCGTCGCTTGAAGCACTGAAAAGGTAACAGCGCGTATCACCCACTGAGTTCCACTCAGACCTGAGTCAAAGTGACTCAGAGTTAGCTCGTACGTTGATACTTCACTGAAAGATATTTTCCATTCAGGAACGTCAAGCATAGTACACATACACATCCGTCGGACGGGATCTTGGTCATTGTACAAGTTGTACGTGAAAGGCTGTGATGTTCTTAGCCATCAACGAGTTAGGATTCATAGTCTCAGAAGATCTGGAGAGCCTGCAAAGAAATACAAGCTCGACCGAAACCACGTTTCGGTGAGGTACCCATCACTTCTGTACAAAGATCACGCGTGTTAGCTGAATTCGCAGGGATTGTAGACACTTCACTTCGCTGCAGTAGCAGTTCGGGGATCGCGTGGACCTGTAACTTCTGCTTCAACATCCACAGACAGCCGTAATCTTCCCCAACTATGAAAGATACCTTGTGTCACAGGCGCTGTCATTAATCTACTTACCGGATAGTAAACAGCACGCCGACGTAATGGAGGCAGGCGAAGGCTATCGCGGACGTATTCCATTCAAACCGCTTCAGCTGACGTTCGAGGAGCAGGAGCGATGTCAGGAGCTCACACTGCAGCTATTGGACCGGACGCTGCGAAGTTACGACGAGCGAGACGTCACCACGCGCGGATCTCCACGCCACCACTCGACTCTGGATAGCGCGCGCTGGAAGCGGCACAAGACTCAAAGCAATGCATCGCTCTACTCGGAGCGTCATCACATCGGACGTCGAGATCTGAACATGCCCGGCGACAACTGGGAGAATCCGGCTGTGTTGCTCGCGGTCGGCACCATTCAGGCCAGCTTGGACGACGTGATGTTGGGATTAACAACGCAGACCTTCGGGGACTTACGCGTCCGAGCGGCGTCTATAGCGTCACATGACGTGAGCGGAGCCACGTTAGCGAAACTGTCGGGCCCAACGGCAGAGGACCCATATCAGAATCTCAGTGTAATGTGGATGGTAGGCGAGCAAGGCTGGCCGTTAAGCATGATCGTACGACCTAGGGACTTTATTAACCTGTCGGCGTCTGGGATTATCACGCGAGCTAATGGAGACCGCATCGGGTACGATCTGGTACAGCCGGCACAACTGCCGCAGTTGCCTGAACTTCCTAAGCCCATGACACGAGGGAAGTTGATGTATGGAGCGCTGTATAAGGAGCAGGATGGAACTGTGGATGTGTATATCCAAGTGTACGTGGAGACTATGGGCCATATCTTGGATACGATCGTGATGAACGCCATGTGGATCGCTGTGCTGGGCTTCTGGGAGGCACCGCGACTGGCGGAGGAGAAGAAACTGCAGTGGTGCATTCTCAACAGAATTAAGGATCCTACTAACCGACAACGACGAGCGATGACTGGTTCGGTGGATCTCTCGCTTTGTGGTGTCTGCAAGGACAAATTGAGAAGACACAGTCGAAGCAAAGACGGCGAACCAAGCGCCAACAAGACATGTACTATCTGTGGTGCGTTTCTGTGCTCAAAATGCCGCGTCAAGCGATCATTCAAGGAGCTAACTGGTCGAAGCAAAGGGCCACCGACCAGAAGCGTGCATGTGGTTGTGTGTAGTGTGTGTTTGACGTTAGTTAACCAGCACAGTGCGACGGAAGTTGCGTGGCAGCAGAGCCAGCAGCGTTTGCAACCTGAGAGTGATGATGCAGATAGTGGACGCACGACGTGGGGGCTACTAGATGATGCGATAACGCCCTCCTGGACTCCAGGACGATACTTTTCCATCTCCGATGCTTCGTTTAACTTTTCCGACAAGTAGCGAGATCGCAAACAACGTATCGTGCGTAAGAATTAACGGTGATATTGCCTTACAATCTAAAATCAATGGATCCTTCTAATTCACTGCGTGTTCGACAAGTTTCGCGTAGAATGCTCTTCCGTCCTGGTGTGTGCCCTGCTTCCTTATCTCGTCGCCACAAATGTTTGCTACAGTACCGTCGACTAGTCTAATCACACGCGCTACTCCGACAGGAATGATTGTGAAACGTAGTCGAAATGTACTTCATTTCGGTTAAGATTACCACGAATGCACTATCTCAACTGCTTTTTGCGGCAACTATCTACTTATATAAGATACATTTGTGAATAGATCATTCTAAAAAGTGCTAGGCACAAACATAACACATATCAGTGCTTTTCACCTTCTATTTGGGATAATCATCGTTCCATCGCATTAAATGCCTTTCAAGTCAAACCTCAGTCAGTTCATTCTCAAACTTACCACCAAGTCCTCCAGTCGAGTCCCCAACAAGTGCCAGTCCCGAGTGGCCCAGCTTTACAGCCATGGCACCTCCACCAGTCAAGACCGACGACGTCGAAGTGTCAACTACTGACTACAACCAAGTTGTGACCCCTACATCAACTGCTAAAAACTCAAACGGCTACGACAACCACGTCAACGATCACTCATCGGAGACTAAAGATGACGAACTAATTGAAACCGTTGCACTCTCTCAACTGTACCGGTATGCCACCCCAATGGACAAGGCCCTGCTCGCTCTAGGCATCGTCATGTCTGGAATCGGCGGTGCACTGTTCCCGTGTATGGCTCTAGTGTTCGGTGACGCCATCAATTCCTTCGCTCAAGCAGACGGCGGAGTGGATCGAGATACAGTGAACTCTGCAGCTTTGGACTTTTTCCTCATTTCCATTGCACTTTTCGTCACTGATTACTCGTCCGGAGTGTTGTTCGCGTATACTGCGGAACGACAGATGAAGGAGTTGCGTACCGAAGTGCTCAAGCATTTGCTGTACCTCGACATCAGTTGGTACGACAAGATCGATCCGTTGCAACTCTCCAGCCGAATGACGGGCGATACCGTGAAGATCAAAGACGGAATGGGCCAAAAGTTCGGAGACGCCGTGCGATTCATCTGTCAATTCTTTTCGGGATACATCATCGGTCTTGTGCGTGGCTGGGATATCGCACTGCTCATGTCCTGTTTGATGCCGTTCATGGCCGGATCGATGGGTGTGCTGCTCAAGATCATGCAGAAGCGAGCGGTTCACTCGCAACAGATGTACGCTGAAGCTGGTGCTGTCGCGGAGGAGACACTCGGATCTATTCGCACGGTGTCGTCGCTAAACGCCGAAAAGAGAGCGATCGACAAATACAATGAGCGTGCGTTGGCTGCTGAAGAGACCAATATCCAAGTGGGAAAACTGTCGTCCATTGCCTTTGCGTTCTTCATTGGTTGTGTCTGGCTCATGTACGCTATCGGTCTCTGGTACGGTGGATCCAAGGTTGCGCGGGACAAGACGTCGCCTTCCGACGTGTTTCAAGCGTTCTTCGGTGTGCTGATGGGAACGATTTCGCTTGGTCAGATTAAGCCCAATATGTCAGCCATCGCTGAAGCGAAGGGAGCCGCTACGGAGATCTACAAGATCTTGGACACACCATCTGCCATCGATGCATCCAAAGACAACGAAGGAGAGAAGCCGGAGTCTTGTCTTGGTCGTATTCAAGCTACAGGCGTGAACTTCACGTACCCCAGTCG